ATTGCTACTGGCTTAAAAAAAATCATAGGTGGCAACATGCTAAACATGTTCCCACTTCCTTTAGCCTAAGTGTGATCATATTGCTACCGTATCAAAATGTCAGTGACACAAGCATATAGGGTGGTGTTACTGTTCGCACATGGTAAGCTCGGCCTCCCCCGTATCCTACCTTTATTACTCCAACGACGTGAAATATGTCAATAATTCTAAACGATTCTTTTGAAAAAAAATTTAAATATTCCTAAACTAATAAAAGAATAGTTATTATTGTCATTTGTCATTTTCTAATAATCTATATTTTCCTTTCAAACGCTCTATAAAAATATTGTCATTTTCTCATTATTTTTTATTTTTTTAAAAGTATTGATGTTGATAATAAATTAGACACTTAATTATTTGATTCTTGATTTTTAGGAGAAATTTAAATTTGTTTTGAATAAGTTTTGATTATGATTGTCGATAATTAATTGTATTTCTATATTGAAAATCCTATAAAATCATGTTTAATTAATAATTTACTGAAAGTTTTTGCTATAAAAAAATTAATTATAAGCTAATAGTTGTTATATATGAATAACATAAACTCAATTAAAATTATATAATTATTTCTATCGTCCAAAATAAAACTCTATCATTTTTGTACTCCAATGTTAAAATAACATGAAATCATCGAATTATCATTCATGTCTAAAATTTAACAAAACATACCATTTATTTTTCAAGAAAAATAAGAGTAAACTACATTTGGCCGATATGGTTCGGTTATAATTGTCCTTTTGGTTCTACCTTTAAAATGTTGATATATCACATCAACGTGGTTTTAACAAATTACAACGCTCCTCTTTGGTCTATGTAAAAAGAGTAAATAACTTTTATTAATATCTTTTCGTTTCTTTCTTTTTTATATTTATAAATTTAAATAATATAAAAATAAAAGAGTCATATTACGGTAAAACTATTATCCTACCCCACCGCAACGCACATCCAACATATCATCTATATTTCTTATTCCTCACATTTTGTCTCCTTGCACTTTCTTCCTTACAACTATGGTCCCGACCTTATATTTATAGACCAAAAAAATCATGGGTTTCTTATGGCGGTAGTTACCCTAAAGGATTCGATCCGACCGACGATATTTTCACAAAAAATCGATGGTATCGTAAGGACTCAATCTGGTTACTGAAAGTTTCGACCCCACCCATCAACCTTTGTTATGTTCATCCTACATCCCAATTAATCATCAATAGAACTCTTAGAGGGATTGTCAATGATTTATTAACCTACTCCAGGACTAAACCTTGAATCTTACAAGGCTGCTAATGATTTCTCAACACTTCGCCACTCTAAATGTGACATTTTTTACGAATTAACTTCCTGAAAATAATAACTTTAATATCTTGGACACTTCATAACCAAGTATAATACAATTTCAAGTTTACTCTAGTGGGTTGTTTTTTGGTTTGTATCCTAGAATTGTTAAAAAGTTATTGATCATGTTTTTTTGGGGGCGTTTGGATGTCGATTCGATTCGAGAATCAGTGTATATGAACTAAATCATATATGTATGTATTGATGATCATGCCACTAAAAGTTGTCGAAGACATGTGAGAGTCTACTCGAAGCGAAGGTGGGTTAATAACCCACTTAAATTTTAAATTTGTACAATGAGTTTTATATATATATATATATATATATATATATATATATATATATATATATATATAGTTAGGATCAAATATAAATCATAAGTATTGTGTGAATGTATGATCAAATTCTGATTATTAGATTAAAAGCTAATGAATAAATGTGATCATTATAATTAGAATCAAGTATAAATCATAACTATTGTATGAATGTATGACCAAATTCTCATTATTAGATTAAAAATAATGAATAAATGTAATCATAAGGTACATGTTATTAACACGGACTACCACGTACCATATAGATTCTATTATTAAATAAATAAGGTAACTAAAGAGAGAGAATTGAAAATTATCTATATGTTAAGCAACTAATTAAAATTAATTAATTAAAATGAAATCTTACATTTTATTCAACACATTTAAATTAAAACATATTTTTTGAAAATACGTATTCATTCAACAAGTATGAACACGTATTTTGATTCCTTTATTTTTAAAGAATGTGAGTTCATTAAATAGATTTTTATTGTTGCATTCTATAAGAATACAATTTTTTGAGAGGTAACATTTTTAAAAATACACATCATATATTACTACATTTTTTTCATTTTTTCAAGCCTAAAGAATATGATTTAATTCCAAAAAAAAAAATCATTCTTTCAATTTTAACATTCTTTGCATATATTACATAATAATGTATCATTCGTTAAAAAAAATGTGTTGCAATATAATTAAGAATATAGTATAAAATAATAATCATTCTTCTAACATAAAAAATTCATAACATAAAACAAGAATATATATATATATATATATATATATATATATATATATATATATATATATATATATATATATATATATATATATATACCATTTTGAAAAATATACACAATCATTTATATTAAATTCTTTAAGAATTTGTTATCATTCTTGAAGAATATACAAAAAAAAATTATATCAAATAATATATCCTTTAAAAATCTATCACAATTCTTGAAGAATATATTTACTTTCTGATGGTTTTCTTTCATCCTATATTTTTACTTCTTCACGTTTGAAACTAAACCTACAAATCATTCAAATAAAACTTTCGTTTTTCTCCTGTAAACAAGAAAAAGAAAAGTTAGAATATTTGGTACCAATGTAATATGTTTTTTAATTAGTATAAAGGTTTAAATAATTGAAGATGTAACATATTGAAATTTTCACACCTTTTGTTTCTCACTGAGTACATATTTATATCTATTGTTCATCATTTTGGAGTTCTTTATTTAAACTTATTTGTAAAGTGAGATTCATGTGGTAATTTATATTTGCTTTAGTAACATAAAAATAACTTTTTAGAAAGGAGCAAATGTCATTTGTCAATAAGAAGGTTTTTGATAGAAAAAACATTTGACGTTAAATGGGCAAAAGTATTACAAACGTCGATATTTACAACTCCTATTGGAATTCATATGGATTGTCATATATGAGATTGGAACTTTAGATACCTTTTGTCATATACGTATGTGATCGAGGGTATGATTAAATTTACGAAGATGCAACAGATTGAAAAACACATTTAAACAACTATATTAAATCATAGAGAAAAAAGAATAAACACTAAATAGAAAACATTCATAAATTAGATAAAGAAAAAATTAAAGAAGAGAGCTCCTAACCTTCGAATTATTTTTCTTGATGAATAATATCACTTTAGAGCCAACTTGAAGAAAAACATTCAAATTGGGTTACCGGTACTAAGAATCCTCAAATAAAGCCCTATATATAGAACGATATATTGTCGAACATGGCTGATTTGATGCACGTTTGGAGATTAAGAATCGATTCAAAGGAGGAATGTCAGAAACGAACACAATTGCAAGAATGAAGTGAACCTATAATAATGGTGGATGCGTTTGATGAAAATGATGTTATGCGTAGGTTTCTTTAGAACATATGTCAACTTCCATAAATATAGACTTTAATTATGGTAACTAAATTGACTAATTAATAAAAATAATACTTTCTCGTCAATAATGAATTGTTCAAAATTACTCTTACAATCGCACAATTTATGGGATATATATGAACCTAATTCTCTCTCTCTCTCTCTCTCTCTCTCTATATATATATATATATATATATATATATATATATATATATATATATATATATATATATATATATATATATATATATATATATATATATATAAGACCTACCTTAAATGTGTTTTGCAAAAAAAATTATATAAATATAGATAATCAAAGCATATTATATTTGATGGAATGAATGAGTCTCACGTCAACTCTAAAAAGAAAGTGAAGAAGGTTTATCGATTATAAACAAATGTTTCCTCTTTTACTTCCACACCAAAAGTTTGTTGAGACCCGGTTCAAACCGGCGTACTGCAAATATAAGTGGGTTTTAGTCGAAATAATTTAAGAAATGATCGATTTAGGTTTGGTCTTTCAGACATGTTGAATTGATTATTTTTTTAGTTTAACTTAGTTTTCTCTTAAACCAGCCCGGTTAAACCCGTTTCATCAATAGCGGCAACTACCTAACAACACCATCGAAATGCATCCTCTTCAACCCTATAAGGGTATGGTTCTTCATCTAATCCACACCCGACACTTAGCTTCAATGTTAATAAACAAGAACAAACTATCAGTTCTGTTTTTTGTAGATATGATCAAGAATATCAATTTTATATTTGTAGACATACAAACAACATCAAATTTGTTTTCACAATTTTGGATTTAGGCTTTATAACACAATGGTGAAGGGTAGGACATCGCATGTGAACTTCTCTGAAAACGACTAGAATGAGAGGAAAAATAGAAAATGAAACAAAAATCAGTTTAATAAGGATAACAGAATTTTTTATATGGACCAAGGACACTCTTAACTTTTTTGAAACAACATGGATGCAATAGATCAACTTTTACAAGGTTAGACAAAGCTTGTAGCTTTGACCAAACCACATGGACCATTTATGTAATTTACTCTAAAAATAAAATGAAAATTTAAACCTTAAAACCAATTAGACTGTTTCCGGCATTTCCATTCAAAGAAAACCGAATATGGCGGTCCAGTCCCATAAGACAGAAAACCCAACGGTGATCGCTCCACCCAAACCAATAATCATATCTACAGAGATCGGGAGGAGAATGGATCCACCCGTCATTGAATCTCAGCCATGATCAGAGGAAACGTCGATTATCCGGATACACTAAAATCAACCCACAATTGAAGTAAGAGGTTTTAGTTTACTAATCCATTTCCATTATCTTGATTAACGAACACATTCTGTTTAGTACTTCTAATTCATCTATTTTCCTCCACAGATTGATCTTATAAATGGCGAATTTCTTATCTCAGTTTCAGTTTATCAAAAGTTCTTGCGATCGCCTCATCATTGCAAGTATGATTCCCAAATTTCCTTAATTACAGCTCTAATTCTAATTTTACTTCCATACTCAATAATCAGACCAAATTTAATACGCATTGAGCTGTGACATTGAATACTGAAATAAAATTGTTTTCCAGTTGACGATGTGAGTGATTTGTGGCCCCTTGTGAAGGAAGGATTTGAGAAACGGCTTCCATTTAAAAGAGCTACATTGAACAACAAAACTCGAAATCCTGTGACTGTAGATAATCTTCCAGCCGAGTTTATCTTAGCATCAGATCAAAGGGTCAGAAGTCGTTTCCTTCCAGAGCAACCATTGTTTTGGTTTAAAGAACCATATGCAACTGTAGTTCTTGTGACCTGTGAGGTAACTACTAAAACCTAACGCGAAACATTCATTGATCTATATGAGTTGAAAAATGACAAATTATTGCTACAGGATCTGGATGAGTTCAAAACAATTCTGAAACCACGTCTGAAATTAACCTTGCAAAATGATGAGAAACAGTGGTTCATTGTGTTTGTGTCTAAAGCTACACCCAATAATGACCAAGCATACAAGATGGCACAAAAAGTTTATGGAAGACTTGAAGTTGATTTCAATTCCAGAAAAAGGGAAAGGTAAAGTTGCATCCACATATCAATCAATCATGAATTTCATTTTGTAACATTCGCATACTTCCATGAATTCAACTCAGGAGTAGTGGTTCATCAGGTGCTGCAAATTTGATCTACATGGACCTGAAACAACTTTTTGGGAAGACTTACAACTCAAAATCATGGAGTGCCTTAGAAACAGTCTTGATAGGCGTATTCAGTTCTATGAGGATGAGATTCGTAAGCTCAGTGAACAACGTTTTATGCCTATTTGGAGTTTCTGTAATTTTTTCATTCTCAAGGTAACCATAAAGGCTAAACCTCTTCTTGTTAATATGATAATAGAACATTTTTAGTATGAAATAATTGAAAATCTATTTTTACAGGAGAGCCTGGCATTCATGTTTGAAATGGCTCATCTTCATGAGGAATCATTGCGCGAATATGATGAACTAGAGCTCTGTTATTTGGAAACAGGTGTTATATAGTTTATATATATGTTATATATTTTTTTTTCTGACTTTTTGCCACATGTAAAGCTTTTTTTTTCTTGTACATTATACAGTTAATAATGCAGGAAAACAAAGGGAATTTGGAGGAATGGACCATGGAGATGATCAAGCTGCAATACTAAACCCTAACAACAAACAACTGTCACAAATTGTTCAAGATGATTCCTTTAGGGAGTTTGAATTTCGACAATACCTTTTCTCATGTCAAGCTAAGGTTATTTAAATAATCTTTTTTTTTGTTAGTAACTTAATATGGATTAATGATTATTGAACTTTTATTTTCTTTTCACAGCTGTTATTCAAGCTAAAACGTCCATTTGAAGTTGCATCAAGGGGGTTTTCATTCATTGTTAGCTTCTCAGAAGCATTGACCTTACGTGAGGTAGGCATTTACCTCACTCAATTCATATCATTAATATTTAACTAATTTTTAATTTCTTATTAATTGGTAATTATTCTCCAGAGTGGTTTGCCCTTCTGTATGAGGGAAGTTTGGGTTTTAACTGCATGCTTGGGGTTGGTCAACGCAACTGCTGACCATTACAAAGATGGAATAGTGGCACCAGAGATAGAAAAAGAATTTTATCGTGTAAAAGGAGAGTTGTATACTCTATGTCGCGTTAAGGTAATTAAACTAAATAAAAATAATAATTTTGAATATGGATCATTATGATAATATTAATATTACCTTCTTCTGTGTGTTTGTGAATGTCATAGTTCATGAGGCTTGCATATTTAATTGGGTATGGATATGATATAGAAAGAAGTCCAGTAAACAGGTGGGATTGATGTCAATTCTTGCTTGAAAGTCAAATCTTTATTCTATACATGATTCTCAAAAGTCAAAGGTGCCTCTTTTTTTCTTTTGTAGTGCTTCGCTTAGCATGCTACCATGGCCTAAACCAGCAATTTGGCCTTCAGTTCCCTCTGATGCTGCATCCGAAGTTCTTGTGAAAGAAAAAGTATGTATCTTCATCTATTCAGAAGCAATTTTTGTTTTAGTAGAAATGATTGTGATTAAACTAAATTGTAGATGATTCAAGAAGCTACTCCAAGGATCAAACATTTTGGTATTCAGAAGAAACCATTGCCTCTTGAACCCTCTTTTCTTCTACATGAAGCTAATCGCCAAAAAAGCTCTCGTTCTGCAGGTAATATGGATGATCATTCAAACATTACTTTTTCATTCATTGCTATCCGTTTTGTTAACATATTACATGATGCCAGCTCAGATTCCGAAGCACAATCATCTCAACAAAGGAAACTCGCTGAAGTTTTTGTGGCTTCTCAACGTGCTCTACGTAAAACTATCTCCGATCCTGGTTTATGGAACTCGTTGTCATCTTTACAAGAGTTTGAGGTATATACAGATTAAGTTTACTATATGTATAATTGGAATTTTTGTATTGAATTCGTTTGCGCAACAGAAAAAGTATCTGGAGCTATCAAAGGGAGCTGCTCATAACTACCATTATTCATGGTGGAAAAGGCACGGAGTTGTCCTCGACGGTGAAATCGCCTCCGTGTGCTTCAAAAACGGCAACCACGATCTAGCTGCGAAATCATACGAGAAGGTTTGTGCGCTTTACTCCGGCGAAGGGTGGCACGATTTGTTAGCCGACGTACTCCCAAACTTAGCCGAATGCCAGAAAATCCTCAACGATCGAGCCGGATACCTTTCGTCATGTGTGCGATTGCTTTCACTCGATAAAGGCTTGTTCTTAACAAACGAACGACAAGCGTTTCAATCCGAAGTCGTTCGTCTTGCTCATAGCGAAATGGAGGATCCTGTTCCGTTAGATGTGTCGTCGTTGATAACATTTTCCGGCAACTCAGGGCCGCCGATGGAGCTTTGCGACGGAGATCCGGGTTCGCTATCTGTAACTCTATGGTGTGATTTTCCCGATGACATCACTCTTGAATCGCTTAGTCTCACCTTAACTGCCACCAATAACGCCGACGAATGCGTCAAGGTATTCATTCCACCCTTTTTCTCCAAGTCTTCTTCAAATTTCTAAACTCAAATTTAATTTCTTCAAATTTTCAGGCAATTAGAAGCGGCGATGTAACGATACTAAAGCCTGGTAGAAACACAATCACGCTTTCTTTACCCCCACAGAAACCCGGTTCGTATGTGTTGGGTGTTCTCACGGGGCAAATTGGTCATTTACGCTTTAGGTCTCATGGTTTCTCAAGAGGTGGGCCCGCTGATAGTGATGACCTCATGAGTTACGATAAACCCACTCGACCCATTTTAAAGGTAGTAATTAATTATTATTTTTTTTTTCAAAAAATAAAAGTACATTGATATTAAGTTCAATTCGGGCATATAATTTAATTTTGTGTTATGTTTGTTGTTTTAGGTGTTCAAACCAAGATCCCTTGTTGATCTTTCTGCAAAGGTTTCATCTGCGTTATTAATGAATGAAGCTCAGTGGGTTGGAATAATTGTAAAGCCATTTAAATACTCTTTAAAAGGAGCTGTTTTGCATATCAACACTGGGCCTGGGTTGAAGATTGAGGAGTCACATGACATAGAAATGGAAACACATTTTACTTCAGATGATGATAATAATAATAACAATATTAACAATAACAACAACAACAATAATAATAATAATAATAATAATAATAATAATAATAATAATAATAATAATAATAATAATAATAATAATAATAATGATGATGATTCTGTTGTTCCAAAAGAATTTTCTAAACTTACTCTTAAAAACAGTAGAATAGAGTTACCAGATTGGGCAAGTAATATTGTTGGTGTTTTGTGGATACCTGTGCGTGCCATAAATGAAGGACTACCAAAAGGAACATCTGCAGGTTTTAATGATTTTTTCAATTTTGGTTTAAAAAGGTTTCCTTTTGAAATTTTGATCCTTATTTTATGTGGACCAAAGTTGCAAGAGAAAATCTTTTAGGATCAAAAACTGAGAAAAATCAATGATATTTAAGGACCAAATATGTAATCTTTCTTTATTATTTGTTTTAGGGGTAGTATTGTCCCAAAGAGCAAATGTAGTCGATGGACTAAGGACATTAGCTCTAAAACTTGAATTTGGAGTGTCAAGAAATCAGATATTTGAAAAAACAGTAGCTATTCATTTCACTGACCCATTCCACGTCAGCACACGCATGGCAGACAAGGGCAATGATGGTGCTTTGCTTTTGCAGGTTTTATTTTCATTATATGCACTTTGATAAATAATTTCACAAATCAAGAATTTTCTATAGAACTAGTGTTGATTTTGGGTGAAAAAATACAACACATTGTGTATTATGATATAAAGAGTAGAAGTAAGTTGCTGTTTCCTTCAATTTTTATGTATTAATTTTGTCATTTTGTTGTTCCAGGTGATATTACAGTCACAAGTCAAAGCCTCGTTGACCATTCATGATGCATGGTTAGATCTACAAGATGGTTCTGTTCATGATGGAAAACCAACATCTGCATTGTTTCCTCTCATTGTTCCCCCAGCCTCTAGAGCTGGAATTCTATTTGGTATTTTAAAAAAAAAAAAAACAGATTTATTTTGTATTTTCTTATTTTATTTACGTGGATCTGTGGTTATTGCAGATGAAAAGAAAGCATTGCATCCCGATACGATATTAAATATTAAATACAAAATTTCGGGAGACAGAAATCATGGGTCTCATACTCCCGTATCCTTGGAAACAAAAGTACATGACAATGACAATGATGTATTGACATTCAGGAGTTCTCTTGAGTTACAACGACCTGTTCTAGAACCTTCTTTAGCAGTTGGTTTTCTTCCTCTTCCTTCAAATGGTCTTAGAGTTGGGCAGCTTTTTACCATGAAATGGAGAATCGAAAGATTAAAGTTTTTTAAGGATGAAACAGCTTCTAGTAACAACAACGTAAGACTACTAATTCTAATTAGTCAACAACTTTTGAAATATTACATCATCATGTTATTTAAATCTAGAATGAATAAAAAAAATGTTAACAAGATTAATTATTTCATGTAACAGGACGAAGTAGTGTATGAAGTGAAGGCAAATTTAAAGAATTGGATGATTGCCGGAAGGAAGCGAGGCCATGCTCCCCTCTCCACAAAGCAAGGTATATGCAAAAGACGTTAATACCCTCATTATCCTGGTCACTGTCACTGACACTGATATTGATACTGAATCTGACAGGTTCAAGGATCGAGATTTCTATATTGTGTGTACCGCTAGGTGCCGGATATGTTCGGCCTCCACAACTGGAATTGCCAAATGTGAATCGGGCAAATATAATATGCAATCCTGCGGGCCCGCATTTGGTGTGTGTCCTACCTCCGCCTTTGAGCTCTTCATTTTGCATTCCAGCGTGATTTCGATTTAAGAAAAAAAAACAAAATTCATGTTTTTTGTTTTTGGTGTGATTGTGTTTGGTTCTATAGAGAATGAGTGGCTATGATGATCAATTTTGTAGTTTTTATTACGAAGTTTTAACATAAAAAGTTGAACGTTATGTAAAGAAATATATTTTTTGGATTTATTAATAACACCAGTTTTGTAGTTAGATTTAGGGTTATTGGAGAAATTTCAGATATAACTCTGGTGGACGTACTTTGTTTGTAGTGGTTGCTTTCTCCAACAACAGTTTCACGGGGTGAATTTCCTCTGCAAATTTGGATATTATTCAATCTTTCAAGCTTGAGGCTCATGGGAAATTTCCTTTTGTGTGACCTACCAAGTAGAGTAGCAATTTAGATTCCTAAAATGTTTAGCCCGTAAACTTTTCCCGGCAAGACTAACCACCGCCTTCGGTGATGAATGGTGGTGGTGGGAGCAGACGCCGGTGGTGGTGGGAGATGGAGGTCGTTGGTTTGGAAGACATGTAGGCAAATGGGTGGGGTTTTGATAGGAGAAGGCCACATCATCAATGCAATGCCACACTAGCATCCAAGTATAGCCTATGTGAACATTAAGTAAACCACATCATCTTAGTAGATCCTTGCTAGAACAAGACAAAACACCGCCTCAAGCATGCATTAAGAAAGGTGCTAAGCAACACTCGCTACCATGTGTGTGTGTGTGTGTGTGAGAGAGAGAGAGAGAGAGAGAGAGATTAACATGTGATTGGCTCTTTTACATTTGATTTTTTTTTAATTTTTTCTTTTTAAAATCCAAGTCTACATAAAAGCTTAGGTGGAAAGTAAAAATATGATAGTGGAATGTGCATAACATGTGTTAAACATGCTAACACTCTCTATAACCTAAGGTTCACCTCATAACCCGAACATGTATTTCAAACGTTAGTGATTTAAAAGACATAAAAATTAGTTAAAAAACAAATAAAATAAAAAAAATTGTTAGATTATAATGGGGATAATGATTTGAAAGGGTAACGAACTTTCGACTTTTGTCACATTTAGTTACTAAACTTTTTTTCGTTATCCATTTGCCATTGAACTTTTGAAACTATTCACATTTTACCCTTATGACCGGCTTAGATAACGAAAAAAAGTTTAGTGACTAAATATGAACAAAATCGAAAGTTCATTTCCCTCTAAAATGTTCGATGACTAAATGTGAACAAACTTCCTCTTGTATTATGTTTTAGCAATTTATTTATTTTTGTTAAATTGTAGCAACATTTGTTGATGAAGAAATCTATGAAATAAAAAAAAATTAAAAAAAACAAAACAAAACAAAACCCTGAAAATATATTTTAAAAAAAAACAAAAAACCCAAATCGAAATACAAAACAAATGGTTTGACATTTTCCAAAATAAAAAATCAAAATTTCCAATCTGATTTTGGTTTTACAAAAAAACGAACCATTCTCACTAATGTGAATTATGACCATTGGTTTGGCATGCGAAATTTGTGACATCCCATGAATATGTAGTTACAACATCGTCTGAACTCGTAATTCATAGTAAGGGGTTAGAGTATCATCGCATGAATACGTAGTTACAACATAGCCTGAACTCGTAATTCATCACCTACAGGTTATGGGCCTGCTGGTGTTTCCACTGGATTGTCTAGAATAGTCCGTGGTCGCCATCTATACTCTCGTAGATGACTACATCGCCACATTGTTGGTTAAGGTTATGGTATCTCCTTTTATCCTACATCACATATTCATCATCATCTATATACCTAATTATCATCACCTTTCTATCATCACATATCTCTCATCATTTTATTTCATCACACACCAACTATTTCATCTACCCATGTTTCATCCGCAATATATTTGTAGATATAAAATAAATATATCGTTTAAATCTTTTAAAACATGTATAAAATCGTTCATTCAGCATAGACAGCAAGTATTCAAATAATGAAACATCCTAAAATACAACTCAAATTTTTTTTCTTTTTGTAATAAAATCATATGCTGAACGTCATATCATAATTCCATACGTCAAATATCTCAAACCATAATAAAATGTTGTGATACAATTGTATCAAATCAAACTAAGTATCAAAACAATCTCCCAGGACAAAAACTGAAGCTGTGGTGTGTGCGATGCCATCAACCCGAGCTCTTCCGTTTGCTTGCGGAAGTACCTGAAACCAAAACTGAAACTGTAAGCACGAAGCTTAGTGAGCTCCCCCAAATTACCACATACCATACAAACATAAAAAAAACTACTGGGCCTTGCCCACTGCATCGGACCGAAGTCCGGAACTAACCAGGGCCTTGCCCTCTGCATCGGACCAAAGTCCGGAACTACTGAGGCCTTGCCTCCTGCATCGGACCGAAATCCGGAACTAACTGCATCGGACCGAAGTCCGGAACTGACTGCATCGGATAGAAGTCCGGAACTACTGAACATAGCATAGCATAAACATATCAACTAACATAACAACACATAACACGCAAACCTGTCTGATCCACAAAGGCGTCAAACATACTAACTACTGCATCGGACCGAGGTCCGGAAACTACTGCTAGCTAAACGGGCCGACATTGTGGCCTTGGACCCGTTCCTACTGGAAGGAAACTCACCTCGTGAACTGGCTACTGAGTGTATGGCTCTTAAAGCTATCTGTTGCTGCTCTGGTATCTCCCCGACTACAATTTCACAAACACACTCAATCAATTACTAATAACTGCATTGGGGTAAAATGACTCTTTTACCCCTGGCTAAAGTCAACTCTCCCAGTCAAAGCCAACTTACAGTTGACATGACTCGCCGAGTTGGGCTGCCAACTCGCCGAGTCCCTACTCTCACTTCCCAACCCTGTTTGCTGCTACTCGTCGAGTATGGCATCAACTCGACGAGTTCCCTTTCGATCTAGAACTCAGGCTATCTGTATCCGACTCGCCGAGTTGTATGAACAACTCGACGAGTTGTTCTTGAATCTATGAATATTGCCTTAGACTCGCCGAGTTGTATGAACAACTCGTTGAGTTCCTCCATTACTGAGTCTGACCTCCAGCTCACTGAGTCCATTCTACTACTCACTGGTCCCCACTCGGAATCACTCAAAAGGGGAAGAATCGGGGACTCGCGGCTCGACTCGCTGAGTCCAAAGAACGACTCGCCGAGTCGCATGCATGCAGTACTAAAAACTCGATTCAGCTTGAATCCAGCGCATATAACTTGTAGATCTGGGCTTCTTATGCACGATTAACACGTAAAGATTCTATCTTTACGTGCCCATAATCATCCATGAAGATTAAAAGGCTCAAAAGGCATAATAAAGGCTAGATCTAGGGTTCTCATGCAAGGCAACTCGAAAAAGGAAATAAATCAGGGCTCTAAAGCTCTTAAATGAACAAATCTAGGGATATCTCGATCCAACAAGGCATCCATACAACTAAAAAGCTTGGAAAATACATTAAACTAGCCTTAGAGGTGTTCTAATGGAGGTTTTAAGCACAAAACAGAATAATTCCGAGATATACCTCAATGAACTCTGACTTTGGCCTTGGATCTTTGCTCTACACTTCCTCTTTTTGATCCTTTCTTCTTCTTCTTCTTCAATCCTTCAAAAATCCACACAAAACACTTTAATCAAATAAGGAATGGTTTAAGGTTTCTCACAAGCTCTCTCAGGGTGAAGGAGGCGAGTTGGGGGCACAAAACATTGCTTAAATAGTGAGCAAACCCGGGGATTTAGGGTTTCTTCTTGGCAGGCGGACTCGCCGAGTCCCGAATATGGACTCGTCGAGTCGCCGACTTACACGTGCTCGAAATCCCCGTCTCTACTTGACGAGTCGGGCTATAGACTCGTCGAGTCCCTCTTGAAAACTTCTAAATAAATAACAAGGAAATAACATACCAGGGACGGGTCGTTACAAATAATATGCACACATAGCACATAATTTATATAAAATACTTCATATCTATGTGTAAGATGAAAGTAACTATATCTACCATAAAAATCCCATAAATGCTTCCTAACTTCGAACCCCAAGGTTTACTCTACTAAAGCTTCATATTCTCGGTTCTCTGAACCTAGAAGGGTCCAGATCTATCACACCAAAAAGCTCAAGATAGCTCTTCCTCTCACTCTACACACTCAAGCTCGCTAGGGTTCTCACTTATGGGAAATGTAGTCGCAATTGAAGGCCATAAGTGCCTTTAAATATGGCTCGGGCCCAAAGATTTAGGGTTTCTACCAACAGCGCAGACTCGTCAAGTCGCCTCACCGACTTGTTGAGTCCATTCATTAATCCGAGTCATCAGATGTGACCTTACTCGACGAGTTGAGGCGTCAACTCGTCGAGTCTCTCTTCTTAACTTAAAAGAAAAATACTTAAATTATGATACCTGGAAATCCGGATGTTGCATTTTGTTTTTTTATTTCATAGATTTCTTTATCAACAAATGTTGCTACAATTAAACAAAAATAAATAATTTTGCTAAAACATAATACAATAGGAAGTTTGTTCACATTTAGTCATTGAACTTTTTAGAGGGAAACGAACTTTCGATTGTGTTCACATTTAGTCACTAAACTTTTTTTCGCTATCTATTTATCACTAAACTATTGAAACTGTTCACATTTACCATTATGACCGGTAACAGCCAGTCATAATGGTAAAATGTGAACATTTTCAATAGTTCAATGGCAAATAGATAATGAAAAAAAGTTTAGTGACTAAATGTGACAAAAATCGAAAATTCGTTACCCTTTCAAATCATTATCCCATTATAATGACAATAACCTTATTTTTATCTAGATGTAGTTTCTGATCAACAATTTCTTCATTTTCCATATTTACTTAATAAACTTTATCTAATTTATGTGTTAAATATTACGGAAATTTTCAAAAATAAAATAAAATAAAATAAAATAAAATAAAAAATAAAAAATAAAAAATAAAAAATAAAAAAGGTACATTCTCAATTTTGTAGCTGAAAAA